CCAAGAGTAAAAAGACAACCTACAGACTTGGAAAAAAATTTTGGCTATGATATACCTAATCAAGATCTAATCTCTAAAATCTACAAGATACTGCAAAACTTCATCAACAAAAAGACAAATAACCCAATTAAAAAACGGGCAAAAGATATGAACAGGCACTTCACCAAAGAAGACATTCAGGCGGCTAAGATACATAAGGAAATTGCTCACGATCATTAGGCGTTACACAGATGCAAATCAAAATTACAATGAGATACCATCTCATCCCAACAAGGCTAGCATTAATCCAAAAAACACAAAATAATAAATGTTGGAGAGGTTGTGGAGACACTGGAAAACTTATACACTGCTGGTGGGAATGTAAAATGGTACAACCACTTTGGAAATCGATTTGGCACTTCCTTAAAAAGCTAGAGAAGTGCCATACAATCCAGCAATCCTATTCACTGGAATATATCCTAGAGAAATAAGAGCCATCACATGAATAGATATATGCACACCCATGTTCGCTGCAGCACTGTTCACAATAGCAAAAAGATGGAAACAATCTAGGTGTCCATCAACGGACGAATGGATAAACAAATTATGGTATATTCACACAATGGAATACTAGGCAATGATAAAGAACAACGATGACTCCACGAAACATCTCATAACATGGATGAATGTGGAAGGCATTATGCTCAGTGCAATTAGTCAGTCGCAAAAGGACAAATATGTATGAGACCACTATTATAAGAACTCAAGAAAAGGTTTAAACAGAGAAGAAAACATTCTTTGATGGTTACGAGGGTAGGGAGGGAGGAAGACGGGAATTCACTAACTAGATAGTAGACAAGAATTATCTTAGGTGAAGGGAAGGACAATACACAATACAGGGGAAGTCAGCACAACTGAACTAAACCAAAAGCCAAGAAGTTTCCTGAACACAACTAAGCACTTCGAGGGGCAGAGTAGCAGGGGTGGGGGTCTGGGGACCACGGTTTCAGGAGATATCTAGGTCAACTGGCATAACAAGTTTATCAAGAAAATGTTCACTTTGGTGAGTGGCGTCTGGGGTCTTAAAAGCTAGCAAGCGGCCATCTGAGATACATCAGTTGGTCCCAACCCACCTGGAGCAAAGGAGAATGAAGAACACCAAAGACACAAGGAAAATATTAGCCCAAGGGACAAAAAGGGCCACATAAAGCAGAAACTCCATCAGCCTAAGACCAGAAGTACTAGATGGTGCCCGGCTACCACCAATGACTGCCCTGACAGGGAACAAACAGACAGTCTGTGACAGAGCAGGATAAAAATGGGCTGCAGAACTCAAAATCTAGTAAAAAGACCAGACTTAATGGTCTGACTGAGACTGGAGGAACCCCAGAAGACATGGCCCCTGGACTCTCTGTTAACACAGAACTAAAACCATTCCCGAAGCCAACTCTTCAGACAAAGGTTAGACTGGACTATAAGACATAAAATGACATTTGTGAAGAGTGTGCTTCTGAGCTCAAGTAGATACATGAGACTAAATGGGCAGCTCCTTTCCAGAGGTGAGACGAGAAGGCTGGTTGAATGGATACGGGAAATCTGGGGTGGAAAGTAGGTGTGCTGTCACAGTATGGGGAGTGCAACTCAGGTCATATAACAATGTGTGTATAAATTTTTGTATGAGAGACTAACTAGAGCTGTAAACTTTCACTTAAAGCACGATAAAAAAAAACAGCTCCTTACCTGCATTTGCCATTTTACCACTTCTGTTACAGCAGACCTCCAATGTACACTTCTGTTTTTCACAATAACTGAACAGCTATAAACCTTTGAAATTTATATTTTAGCAACTGAAAAATATCATCTGATATATCCATTTAAAGTGGCAATTAACCTTTACAAAAACACAATTCTCAAGGCATAATTCTGTAAACCCTGTGACACAATTCAAATGTGGCAATATTTATTTAAAAGGTCTGCATTTCATTGCAGGCTTAAGGTCTCCTAGGATTAAGGATAATCATCTTTTAGAATAAAGGGAAAATTTTAAAAAGCTATTAAATTTGACCCATGGATTGTCCAGAAGTTAATTACCAAACATAGGGGCTTTGTCCAAGTGCAAAGATAAATTTTTCTGAGCTATAACTCTAATATATGCTAAATATTACAGATCACTGGTATGCCTGATTAAGGCTGCCCACAAAAAAAGATTATATACATTCAGCTTTAAACAATTCCATGCCATTGAAATGACTTCATTTTACTAATTTCAGGAGACGCTCAACTTCTTTAATGTTACAGCTAATCAAATGTCTTAATTTCACCTTCACTCAATCCTGAATCGACTGTCAATGTGCTAGCACTATGCTAGATTTTGTAGTTACGTCTGTAAACAAGATAGACATAACCTCTGTTATCATGGAGCTTACAATCTAACCGGGAAACAGACATCAAACTAATCATTACATTAATAATTCCAAAAAAGCAAGGAACACTGATACTAGTCATGAATGGTTCTAATTCACTATAGTAATATACTAATAGTAATATAGTACTAGTAATACAGTAATGATGCCTTTGAATTATGGTGTTGGCAAAGAATACTGAATATACCATGGACTGCCAGAAGAATGAAGAAATCTGTCTTGGAAGAAGTACAGCCAGAGTGCTCCTTAGAAGCAAGGACGGCAAGACTCTGTCTCACATGCTTTGGACATGTTATGTGAAGTTACCAGTCCCTGGAGAAGGACTTCATGCTTGGTAAAGTGTAGGGTCAGTGAAAAAGAGGAAGACCTTCAACAAGATGGACTGACACAGTGGCTGCAACAATGGGCTCAAGCATAACAACTGTGAGGACAGCGCAAGACCAGGCAACATTTCATTCTGTTGTACATAGGGTCTCTATGAGTCGGAACTAATGTTCTAGTTCCCATATAAGAACCAAAGTTGAATGTGAGCCACAGATAACCTGTACTCGACAATAATGTTTGCTCTAGTTCCTTAATCAACTAACGTTCTAGTTTAGCAGAGTAATATACTGGCCAGAAGTGAACATTATCACTCTCTTTCCAGTAGTTGGAAACACCCCCTTAACACTTAACGATCATACATAAAATGGACAACCAGAATCTTAACAGATAGGCTTGACACTTTAATACAACGTGGGACCACTAGGAATTTTAAATCTTCATGGCATTATAGGCAGTGCATAACATACAAAATTATTGTGCTCAATCCTCTGCTTGTTAGGAGAACACAGTTTGCCTTAGGAATATAAATGTTGGTCGTATTTCCTTAGACAGTCGTCAAGGTCCAAGCAGAGCCACAGAATATTGTCAGAATGAGAGAGAGAAGTGTTCAGTCAGGTAACTATTCCATGCCACAGCCAGGCCTAGAAGCCTGGTTTTCTAACTCCAAGGTCAGTGCCCTTTTCATTATCGCAGACAGTTTTACTTTCCCTAGCTGAGAATACAGTGCATTGGTACAACTTAATATTGCCTACTGAGAAAACCATCACTGTAATAGGAGAGAGAACTAAAAGTGGCCTTTTAATTTATAATTTACTATCAATAAAACTATAAACAACATGTTCAAACACTATAACCTAAAATAGAAGGCAATTCTCTGTGATATAGTAAAACAGTCTTGTAAAATTAAAAAACATATTTCTATGTCTATACTTCAGTTAAATATCATGTGAGATAACTCAGTAGAGAAGAGAAAAACATCAGATCAGTTTTTCACCTCTGGAAGTCAGAGCTATTTACTCTTCAACAACCTATCTACTGCTAACCTGTTTCTTTCTTACTGGTGGCCTGTTTCTTTTTGGAAACACAGTGATAAGGGGGAAAAAAAATTAACACACTAGATCTTGTTAACTGATTTCTTTTTCTACAAAGATAATTACATGAAACTCCTTTCAGGTCCTGTACTCTCTGTGTAGTTCAAATTGGGGAACAAAAGGTAGCTCCCTCTGCTTAACAGACACCCTTGTTTATAGTTCCCATATAAGAACCAAAGTTGAATGTGAGCCACAGATAAACTGTACTCGACAATAATGTTTGCTCTAGTTCCTTAATCAACTTTAATTAATCTGTAGAGATACAGGCATAAGCATTCATTCTGATGGTCACGTGGCTATCCCTGAATTTTCGGATTTACCAAAATGAAAGAGGAAGTAAGCCTCTACTGGAGAAGGTGGTCTTCCATTAAGATCTCTAGCAATTTCTCCCACATTAAAGTATCACTGAAAGTTTAATTTTGCTATTTTATCAAAAACCATGTATGTAACATTTTAGAAAGATAAAAACTATAAAAAATAATTAAACAGAAGGAAAACAATCATTCCAAATTCTACTGTTAATTTTTTGGTATGTTTTGTCTTTTTTTTCCCCCCAACACATAAGTTTTCATCATACTATACACGCAATTTTGTATCTTACATTTTTCTCTTATTATAGCAAAAGCATATTAAATTTTACATATGTTCTATGGTTGCTTAATATCCTTTTGTAGTTTTCATAACAGTGATGTTATTTTTTTACATTATAATAAAAACATCTGAACTATTTTAGAGTCAAATAGATCCCAATTTGTATACTGGTTCAAACTCTTACCAGCTGTGTGGCCTTGGGAAAATTACTTTGCTTCTCTGATCTTCTCATTCTATGGTATGCAAAATATCTAGCACAGTGCCTGATACATATTGCTTAATGAATTTTAGTTATTATAAAAACTTCCCATATTTCAAATGATTGCATTAGATTACCAGAAGTAAAACTATTCGGCCAAAAATACGAATGTTTTTAAGGCTCTTGATAAACGCCACCAGATTATTTTCCAGAATGGTTACACTAATTTAGAGTCATAACAGCAGTGAGTGTGCCCATGATCAGCAATATGTTAAAAGACAAATGAAATTGGAAATAAAAAACTAAACTTAATGAAAAAGCCAATTATCCAAGCAAAATGAAACCATCACAACATTTAAATATAGATCACTAACGAGTTCAATGCAGACTTACCCTACGTTAGGGGATGCTATCCCTTTATGGGAAGGAGATAAGCTCTGAAGTTTGTTTCCCAAAGAGCTGCTAACTGAAGACACTTTACCTGAAGGCACACCTTATAACAAAGAAGGCATTAGTTTTAACAACACTCTGAAAAAGAAAACTCATATAGAACAAAGCATCTGACAGAAAACTAATGCTTTAGTGACACTGTGGTGATAAAACAAGATATACCTAAGAAAATTTTTTTAAAAATGACATTCCCAAGGAACAATATATAACATTCTTTAGTTCTAATTTCTAAATTTCTTTCTTACAGTTTACAAAAAGACATACTTTGCTCAATATATTCTTCAAACCATTAAACATTTGCCTATTAAAGACAGTGGGAAAGTTCAGAAAAGTACGAGGAACTAAGAAGGAAAAATATTGTGGTCAAAGAATCAAGAAAAAGAACTTGGTTGATGGTTGACCAAAAGATACATCAATAACATAATCAAGAATAGACATTTAAGCTTAAGAAACAACAATTAAGTATCTAAACTACAAGCTATTGAATAATACTTTCTTTATACCCAGAAATAATTATTCACCCTCCACATCTCTTCCCTAATCTTAAAATGTATTTTAATAGTCAGAATAGACCACTATCTTCATTTCCTTCTCTACCAACCTTGTATTTTAAAACATCAAGTTATGTTATGGATCTCATTACCTACAACAGACTTGTTAGTGCTACTGGGCTGCGGTAATCGTGAAGATCCTGACGACGTGGTTCCAGGAGAACTTGATTTTTTAAATGCAGGTGGCTTATACTAAAAAAGAAAAAACATTTTATCGACATCACTTTTTAATTATGGATTAGAAACTAGTATTTCAAAGCTTAAATTCCTTTAAATTAGTTATTTTTCATTAGCTACTGAATTACCTAAATTGAGAAAGTATAAAACGTCACCTTAGGGAAAGGTGTGCCAAAATATGTTTCCACTCAAAACTGGCATAGGTATTCCACTGCCAAAATAAATTAAAAGCAACTTTTCCCAAATTCACAGGAAAAACAAAGGTCTAGCAGAGAAAATTTCAATGTTAAGATTTTAAACAACAAACAAATATTAATAGAAAAACTGACAACTCATCATGCTCACTTGGTGGTGGAGCTTTAAAGGTCAAGATTTTTGCATGTTCCTAGTTGTGGTTTTAGAATTCATATACATAATCCAGCCATGTATCCTACTGATAAAAATTCCCAAGATCACAGATATCAGTCTGGTCAGGTTCTACAATGGCTGCCTTATGTACAGTTGGCATTATTACGCCAGAAACGGAAATCTCTAAAACACCCGGCAAATAAAAGACCTTCACTAAATGCCTGTCAAATGAACAAATGACTAGGAGACTTTGGGAGATGTGCCATATAAAGATACTGTTTCTCTAAAAATCTAGGGGATTTTTCTGGTTTAAAAGGGTATCTGGTTAGCACCAGCCTCTCCCACTAAATACTACTGCAAACACTAGAACAGATTTTCAAACTAACAGTGACATAGAAAACAACGCCAAACAATCGTTTGTCAAACCATCAGAGGCATGTCTATTAAAAACAGGGCCCATGGAATTGGATTAAGAAACAGGGCTGGTGACCCACTCATACTGTGCCATCTACCAAAAACAAGCCAAACTATTAGCATAAACAAGAGAGACGGGCGTGGCCTATTTCACATTGAGAGGTCAAGTCTTCAGGCAGGGCACAGACTGGAAGGGCCCTGGCAGCAGTAAATACGAAGGACGTAAGATTTTCAGGTACATACTAGAAATTGTTATGATTCACTTAAGGACACGCAAGTGCTCAGAAAGAGGCAGAACACACCTTTCAGAAGAACTCTGTTTCCCTCTCTCGGTTTTGTTAAGACATTTGTAGAGATAAAAGAAGCTACAAACCATGCTTTTACCTCTCCAATGATCAAGTTCTCTATTAGGCATCCCACTGTGTTCTCAAAATAATTTCGTCAGGTTTTCTGAGACATCCAGAAGCAAGCCTACCGTTCTCTATGTTCCACATTTCCTGATTACTTTCGACAAGAACTAGTAGGTTAGTTTCATCAGCGAGTCCGCACCCTGCTCTGAATGCCTCTGGTTTAACACACTCACCTGCTTCTCAGGAGCACGCTGTTCCCCAGACATGGACAACCTGACTCCTTCCTGACTGAGCTGTGGTCCACCTATTCTACAAGAGCCAGATGAAAGTCTGCCTGGACTACAAAGACTGAGGATGAATCTGGGCATCAGCAATTTTGTATAAATTTGTTTTAAGGATCAAAAGAACAAAAGCACTACATTTTTATACAGTTAGATGAATGTATGCTCCTTTCATTTATTAAATAAGTATTTGTTAACTGCCTAATTAGTGTGTTTGCATACAGGATCATGAACCTAACAAATCTCCTTAGCAAAAATTTATATTTACAAAGACTTTTAATAATAAATTGAGCTTAAAAAACACAAAGAACATCCATTTCTGATAAAATGGTAGACCAGACTATCTGGACCAACTTTTCTACTAGAACTAAAAATCCTCAGGGTGGTCAGAGGATAGGAACAGGAACTGCCAGACCAAAACCATGTGGTCTGGCCATCACATGGACTGGCTGTAGAAATCTGCATCGCTGGGCTGGTCAAGCCCAAAACTGAATTTAAAATGCTTTCAGATTGACAGTACTTTTAGAAACCTGGAAGAAATAAGCATGTATCTTCTATGGAAGAAAGTAATTCGCATGAATAACCCTCATGAATAATTTTTTTTTAAGGGCAATGAGCAGCAAACAGTTACTAATAATCATGGACACAAGGATCTAAGGCACCAGGAATGAGAAAAGAGAGAGAGAGACGGCAGGAACATACTCATAAAAGTCACCTGATACTATAAATCAGACACATATTATGAAACAATTACGCTTACTACTTTCAAAGAAATAAAAGACAACTCTGAAAATATTAACAGGGAATTAGAAACTATAAAAAGTTAACAAGAAATTAGAAAAAAAGCCAAGCGTAAGAAATTAAAAATTAAAAAACAAATTACAAACTTGATGGCAGAGGAATGAAATGACTGTATAACTTTCCTGCAGATAAAAATTACAGATAGGATTTAAAGGAAATATTTTAAGAGACTGGAAACTATCCAAAATCCATTCTGGAAAATTTGCAACTACATACTACAGGGTTAACTATTTTATTTTTTTTTAGAACAAAAACACACACTTCACAGAAAAACAAAACAGAATCCAGATCTGATATATTATCTACCACGTCTAGTTTTCAAAACCAAACTCACTTGTGCAGAAACATGGAAAAAGTGACCCACATTCAGCAGAAAGACAGTCAAGTGGGCACAGGTGTCAGAGTTAGCAGTTAAGGACTCTGAAGCTGCTACTGTAAATGTGTTCAGTGAAGTAAAGGAATGTATGTACTGGGTTAAGGGAAACGTGGTGTCAGAGAAAGGAAAGGCTGGGAATCTCAGCCGAGACATGAAGGCAAAATATAGGCATTTTCAGAAAACCACTAAGCAAATTGATCACCAGATCTGCGCTATGAAAGGGCTAAAAAAGTTTGTCAGGCTGAAGGGAAGTGACAAAAGATGGTGACTGAGATTTACAAGAAGGAATGAAAAACTCTGAAAATGAGAAATATATTAGTAAACATAAAATGCAAAGTATTTACACATCTATGTATAAATATATATGTCTCTGTATATATGTATAAATAAAGGTATATTTATATATACACTTATTTATTTTCTTCTTCTAATTTCTTTAAAAGACATGATTTTGAAAGCAAAAAGTATTAACACTGTACTGGTGATTTTACAATGTCTAAAGTTATGTATATGTAACAATAGCACTAAAAATGACGGAAAGTAAATGGAAATATCCATAGATTGAGATAAGCTAAAGATGTATCTGGTTATACCTAGAGCAACTGTTAAAATAAATAACCCAAAGAGTTATAGCTAGGAAGCCAACAGAGAAAATAAAACATCTAAAAACAAAAGAGGCGAGAAGGAACAGAGGAATCAAAGAAATGAGAAAAAAAGAAAAGCAGATGGTAACATGACAGACCCAAACACAACCATATCAATAATAACATTAAATGCAAATTCCTGAACGTGTTAGTTAAAAGGTTGAGCCTCACAAGCAGAACCTAGGACGCAGTATCGTATGAGCCAGATACCAATCTAGGAAATGAACTCTCGAGGACTATCCACAACCAAAAGAAATCCAACAGGGAATCAGAGCAGTTAATCAATAAATGACAACAACATCAAAACAATAAAAGAGGGAATAAACGGCATAGGTATAGAACCTTCTAATGGAGAGGAAGGCAAGGC